GACGTCGAATCTTACAAAGTCCAAAAATACTTGTATAATTCCAATATTTAAAATATCACAATAATACTTTCACAAGATAAAATTATATACGTATCTGATTACTAATTTAATTAACTAGTTAATCGATAACACCCACTTTACACAAAAATAAAGTTTTAAATTGTTTTTAAGCTTTGATATCATATTTTCTCAACGAGCGTAAGATCGTTGAATTTTAATTTTATTAAGACATTCAAATGCCACTGACTGTCATCGGTCCATCCAACCACTGTAACCCGAATGCAGTCTTTCTGACCTCCGTCGCCCGCCGATCATGGTCAGGTCGACCAAATAAACATGTAAATATTTGTTACAAATATTTGCATCAAATCAAGGCCTTCATTCGAGGAAATGTCTCATTTGTAATTGACTGCAAACACTAGTAGATTCATTCAAACTAGGTCATGCCCCATGGTTTTACCCCTTTTTAGGGATTCCATGTAAAAAACTCTAGTGTCTCTTATGAACGCTACACTCTATCTCTTATTTGCTTGCGTGCTGGATTTTTGTGTAATGCTAAGACGTTAAACTTCATATTTCTCTACCGCCACGAATATTCTAGGACGCAACAATTATATATTTTTCACTTGTGTAATTCAATATGTAGCATTTCCTATAGTGTTGAACTCCAACTCAAACCTATAAATAAGGGGTTAAAAGTTGGGCTCAAAATATACAGCTTATTTTTGTTAAATTCATGATCTTCTCACCCATTAATCTCAATTTTCACTCAATTCTTTGTTTTTTTTATTATTTTTCATGCGCAACCATTATTGATCCGACAATTGATGCATTTATCTTCCATCAATTAGTAACTGAAGAAAAGATTAATGATAATAATGATGATGATTTTTAATTTAAAAACTTTTGATTAAATAAATGTGATAACTAACCTTTAATTTTAATTAAATGTTTTAAATATGTTAGATTTGAATAAATCAATTAATTTTAATTTATTTTATTTCTTCAAATTTTAGAAATAAATTATTTTAAATTAATAGCTTCATGTGATATTATAATTCAAAATAGAGATAAGCTCAATTAGAATCAAAGACATCAAATTTTTAATTTATTTGAGTCAACTCATAATCTTCATTAGAGCTAAGAGTCTTGAAAGTGATTTGCTCAAACTCAAAATGTATAACCCAAATCTTTTTAGCACTGTACTTTCATGATCAATAATTTATTGCATGATTTATATAAATAAATTTTATATTTTAATTAAAAAGTGCAACTCTAAATTATCTTATTTTTTAGAAAAATAATGTCACTCAAATTTAATTGGAATGAAATTTATAAATTTTTTAATTTATTTTAAGATAAGAATATCATAAATATTTATAAATTGCAATCATCTTAAAATAAAATTGAAATTATAAAAATCTTTTTTGATAAAATTTAAGTTAAAATAATGTGATTCAAATTTATTTATATATAAGCTATGAATTTTTTTCGGTAATATGAATGATAAATTTAGTCAAAATAATTGATTTAATCACTGATGTAAAAAAAATAATCTTTTAGGATCTGTCATCATTTTCTTACATAAAAAAAACCTCCCACGGAAGTTTTATTTGAAAAAATTTTCTTATTAATTTTTAAAATAATTTTATAGTATAAAGTTTTCTTGAACTTAAAAAAGAAGTAAAAAAGCCTTCCTTAGGGACGGTTTTAGAACACAGCTTTCATTCTAGTTTTAAAAATTTTTTAATTAAAAAAATAATTTAACAAAATAACAAAAATGTCTTCATCATAAATAATAAATTTTGATGGAACCGAAATGACGATTTAAATTTTCAATGGCATCAAGAATTCTCTCTCTCTCTCTCTCTCTTAAGAAACGGGCATATAACATAACGGCTAGTTGGAGCTGGTTCTTGAAAAAGGGTTCATTTGCACTTCCTTGTGAGACACATGCTCAGTTTTCAAATTTTTTCTAAGCCTATCCGACCGTTATCTACCACAAGTGAGAGAGATAGAGAGATCTTGCCAGATTCTTGCTCTTTCATATTTGATTTCTCGCTAAGCTTCCAAAAACCGTAGCGCAGATCGCAGCCATGAACAACCTCATGACAAGATCTTTCCTCAGTTATGCGGACCTGAAGAAGGAGGCGATGAAGGACCTAGAGTCTGGCGGTGGAGACGAGAACCAGGTTGAAATACAAATGAGCAAGCCAGAAGAAAGCCTCCGCATATTCTTCGAAGAGGCGGAGCTGGTAGAGGAAGAAATGACGTACATTCGCGAGCTTCTCGCTCTTCTCAAGGCCGCCAACGAGGAGAGTAAATCAGCCCACAAGCCAGATGTGTCGCGTGCCGTGCGCGACCGCATCAACAGCCACATCTTGGAGGTTCTCAAAACCGCCCGACGTATCCGAGGGCAACTCGAAGGCATGGACCGCTCCAATGCCGCCAATCGCCGTCTCTCCGACTGCCGCGAGGGAACAGCCATCGATCGGACCCGGACTTTGGCGACCAATGGGCTCCGAAAGAAGCTCAAGGAGCTAATGACCGATTTTCAGAGTTTAAGACAGAAGATGATGGCTGATTACAGGGAGGAGGTGGAGCGCCGTTACTTCACTCTAACAGGGGAGGTACCACCGGAGGAGGTCGTGGAGAAGATTATTTCCGAGGGGAAGAGCGAGGAGCTGCTAAAGACAGCCATCTGTTCAAGTGGGCGGGGCATGATAACTGAGGCGTTAAGTGAGATCCAGGATAGGCACGATGCGGCTAAAGTTGTGGAAAAGAGCCTGCTTGAACTCCACCAGTTATTCTTGGACATGGCGGTGATAGTTGAGGTACAGGGTGAGAAGTTGGATAATATAGAACACCATGTCTCGAACGCCTCTCACTACATCAAGGGAGGGACCAAGGAGCTCAACCATGCTAAGATATACCAAAGGAGTAGCCGCAAATGGTTCTGCCTCGCCATTCTTCTTCTTCTTGTCCTTGTGCTGCTCATTGTTATCCCAATCGCCACCAGCCTGAGCAAGTCATGAGTACCTTACTCTTGCTTGGTTAATGTCGTAGCATTTTACTGAAATTCTGAGTACTATGATAGATGTGTTGTTTCTGCATTCTTTTGCTAAATTAGTGTGGCTATTCTGCTTCTCCCTGAAACGATGTATCTGTTGCTGCCTTCGGCAGATACGCGATTCTTAGCTGTTGTGCTTCTCCCTAAACAATGTTCTGTTTATGTGATTTGTGTTGAATCGAAGTGGATCAAACTGTAGCTTACAAGTTTTTTTTTTTTTTGTTCTAATGTTTCTAGAATAAGTTACGAAAGATAAATCTCAAAGTGTGATTCACGATTACTCGTAGAGATATAATTTTCTAACCATTAGATCACATATTCTTAATTATATTTATTTTTAGATCATTGCAAGCTAATTGATAATTTTACGGAGTAGCTATTTATATGGCCATTGTACTGTGGAATTCCTTCTATTTCTATGTTAGAGATTTATAAATATAATAGTTAATTATTTCTTATTTGCATATCTAACATCTGAAACTTCTTATTTACTCATCATTTCTTTAGAGTAACACCATAAATAGATCTCTGTTTCTAAATTCCTTAAGTCATCTTTTTACTCTGAAAGCAGCCTTTGTCTTACCGTTCTTCGCCAAGTCAAAGCAACCAAAGCAAGGGTTAATCGATAAACTATGAAGGGCATATATTGTCTTTTATCCATTGAAACAACTTGAGATTGCTGCATCGCGAGAGGAGGAAAATTAGACGGATCAAGGTAGGCTACTGAGACCTTTCGTTGGTTGTGTGACTACTGTTTATATTTGATTGAGAAACCTAGATGAAGACAATAAATTGAAAGATTCAAATGTCTAGCAATGTAAACAAATTGTCAAATTGATATATACTTTTGTTGTCACTTAAAAAAGAATCGAGTGATGTTTCATTAAATTATGAGATTATTTTGATCTCTTGATTGAGAGCTTTGATGACCTACTAATAAGTTTTGTATTCAAAACTAGTCTATTAATGTTTATATGAGTTTGTTTTAATACTCTCGAAAGTCCAAAGAAAAAAGAAGATGAGTCAATAAACTGAAAGATTTAAATATTAAATACCTAAATAGAAAGAAATTAAGTGTTGTTTGTGTAAATCCCTCTTAATGTTAAATGGGGGATCTTGATGGATGAAAACTTTAAACTAAATAGTGATTAAATCAAAATTAATAGCATAAACATGAAGAAAGGATTTATTTATATTTTTAAATCTCATTGGCTGCGTATTTGCCCATTGGAGAAGGAGCAACTAGCCGTTACTACCTGTTGGCTTTGCCGAATTATTTTATTTTATTTTATTTGAACACCCTTTCTTTCTATTTTTCTCCTTTTATCTCCTCATTTCTTCACCATCTGTCCCATTTCTTTCTCTCCTCGTTTCTATTCGTAGTCCAGAAATTTTCTTCTGCTACAATTTTTAGTGCGAATAAGTGTTGTATTTGTGTTTTTCAGTTCGGGGGGTTTGTGCATTTTCATTTAATCCTGAGAATGCAACTTCAATAAGTATTTTTTAAATCTTAATAATGCTTTATTGTTACTATTTTTTTTTATTATATCCCAAGTTTGTTAGTTTGTTTGAGTAGTTCAAGACGTAGGCTTCCTTTTTGACAACTTTTTGTAACGTTTTCTAAATTAACTTTTTATTACAAAATTTTTCTACATGCAACTCATCTTGATTTATTGGTTGGAAACTTTTTTTCTGGAACATTTAGGCCAATCAAGGCATATTCGCACACACATCGCAAACAAAAGACTCGAACTAAAGATCTCTTAATTTGTAGCTTAAGTTTCCAACCAACATACCAAAGTGAGTTGTGCTGATTGGGAACTTTGTATATCAATCAATATGTCTTGGGTTTGAAACTTACGTATGTGATGTGTGTGTGAGTTTGTCATTATTGGCTTAAATGTTAAAAAAAGAAAATTACTAAAAAATAGTTTTAAAAACAATAAGAAAACCGTCACAAACAAAATCGTAAGATTCATTTTGGATAGTTTTTAACTATTATGTTTTAACTAATTTCTTTCTTATAGAAAATAATAAGATAGCTATCCATAATGAGGTCTTAATAATTATGTAATCGTATTTTTTAATGGTATGTATTAATAGCTTTTTGTTGGCATATATTTTTGTTTTGGTAAATATATTAATTCATTCTAATTAGTTATATATTTAGAAATAGGGAGAACATAGCAGCAGTGATTATAAGGTTCTTATAGAAATTTTGATCCAAACTTTTGCATCTATCCAATCGTGACCTAAGATAAAGTTGTCCTTACATAAATTTTGAACATGAAACACAGTCATCAAAATTTGTCCCAAAAAAAGTCAAAGATATTAGTGATGGTCAATGACCATGACAATAGATATATTTTTACTTTCGTAGGCCTAACATATCTCTTATCTTGCATATTTCTCACATGTGTAAGAATAAGGTCCATATATCACAAGAAAAATAAGAAATTAGTGGTCTTGAACAAGTCCCTCTATTTTTTTATAGTCCTTGTTGGAACCTATGAGGAAAATAAATTGTGAAACTTTTTTTATTCTATTTTTATCTCATCTACCAACTAAATGAACGAGCAAGTGAGGGAAAGGAGAGATGGAGAGAGCGATAGAGGCCAAGGCAATATAGATGATGGAGGAAGAGAGAGAGGAGGTGCAATCAAACAAGCATGATAGACCGTGTGATAAGACTTTGGATTCAATTCGAGCATTTAGAGCTACTCAAACTCCAGAATTTTAAGAAAGAAGAGAAGGACATTACCAAGGAAACTATTGGTTCTATCTTGTTCATCCACGACTAAGTTCTATTTATAATTTGTTAATATGTTCCATAATTACAATTACAATTACAAAAATCAATTATATTAAACTATATATGGGAATTGATCATAATAATCTTAAAAATTAGCACATTCTCTTGTATGAGCCATTTGTTCCTACACCTTGCTTGTAATCCTTGCTCATGTCATAGATTTATAACATTATGCCCTCATACTAATATTGATCTTATCTGCAAAGTTGAAATCCTAGAGTCGGCCCAATGTAGACAGCAATTATCTATTCAACCAAGATATTTCAAAATGTAGTTCGCTTTGTGTTCTAGATAAAAATAAGGTCAGAAGAGAACCTTGATTAAGGACTACTTGAGGAACTTGGTCCATACATTGAGAGAATAAAGCGTGGAGGTTTGGACATACATCATACTACCAAGAATCTTATTAATGGTTATTGTGAAATAGGCAATTAGTTTTACATCCAAAATGGTGCATGAAAGGAGATTATTCTTGGATTGGTCTTGTGGTTCGCAAACGTGAGACATGGTGTCCTCGAACATCCCATATTTTAGTCCTTTCTTGAATGATATTGAAATTAATTAATACATTTTATTTTAAATGAGAAATTGTTGATGTAGAAACTACAGGTGTTGCCAATGCTTGGTGCTCAACCAAGATTTGTTAATCAGAAGGGGATATATTTCAAGGTAGCAAATATAAATGCTAATTTATCATTTATATTGTTTGGTCTTGCACACCAATTCTTAATCAAAACATTATCCTCTTTTACAAAAACAAAATCGATCGAATCGTTGGGGTCTTTGTTGTTGATGTCGTTATTGCAATGGACAATGAAAAGGAAAGCACAAATGACGTGAAGAATCACCTAGTTGCTTTCATTTTAAATGTTGGTAGTTAGCACTGTCACCATTAAAGCTCGCAAAAGAATTGATGATGGCACCTACCTACAATGGAAAGTCAACGAAGGATGTGATTAGATCTTTGCAACAATGACAAGGGTTGGGGATCGAGGATTAGTCTAAACTTGATATGATGAATAGGATCTAACTAGGATCAAAGATGTAGCAAGAATTAGATTGGGGCTTGGTGTCATGACTTTGTTATATGTTGTTACCTACTTGCTAATAGGCTACAAAGTTAATTTTTATGTCTTTTAATGTTAAAAGTATTTATCATTTATTTTGAGAAAGCCAATTTTGTTTATTGTATGCTGAAACATTCATGACAGTTGTGAGAGAGAGAGAGAGAGATAGATTTTAACATATATAAGTGAATTTAATAAAAAAAAGGAATATTGTAATATAAAGTTTGACCTAAGATTTTAATTATCATTAAGTAAACCAACTATAAATTTTGATGAAGATTTGATCAAGCCCATGACTATGAACTCATCGAAATTTATGCATCATATATATCTTATACTTTTCATTTTTTTCAGCAGGCAAAAATTCTTCTACTTAATTTGTTTTCATTATGAATCCTCTCAATTGAGCATGTATATTAATCTTCATTATAGAACTAAATTTCAATTGTTTTGTTCTTACAAGCGCTAAACTTATAATTAGTAATAAATTACTAAAAAGAAGAGTGGAATGTAAAATACATAAACCAAGATAATTGAATAGCTTTTTCAATATTATGTTTAATATTTATTTCAAAGATGAAGTGAATATTTTTAATATACATTATAACCTTATTGCTCATTGCTTTTGTTTGAACATTCTCACCAAGTTATTTATTTATTTACATTAACATTTAAACCCTATTTATGTAATTTAAAAATAAATAAATAAAAAGAAACCATAACATTACTTATTTCTTTGCCATAGCAATCGCGCTCGTCCTCCCCTCCTTTGGCCTCTCGTATGGCCTCACTGTCTTGGGTTTTCTTCTCCTCGCAGTTCCCTCTTCTTTTTTCTCTGTTTCTTTTTTTCTCCGTTGGGCTTCTCGCTACCTTGGTTTTCTGGACGGAAAGAAATCTTCCCGCTCATTTCTTGATGCATTGTAGGGGGCTTCTTCCTCTTCTGAATTTCTTGACCTCAAAGCAACAACTTATCTCAGGTTGTCGTGCTTGTGGATTTCTGAAACTGAAATTTTAGCTCTTGTCAAACCTTTTGAGTTTGCTCTTGTGGATAAATTTTCGAATCATATACCCTCGCTTGATATGATTCGTAAGTTCTTCTTTAATCTTAAACTAATTAGAGATTATTCGGTAACTAATCTTTGGCCTCATCTTTTCTCCCCTCGCATTCTTCATGGTTTAGGCTACTTATTTAGTCATCCCCTTAAAACTGATAACGTGATTGTTGTTGGGTTGCAACCTTCTGTTGCCCAAGTTCTTATCTAATTGGATGTCTCTAAAACTTACACTGAATCTATTTAGATTGGTCTAGATAATTTAGGTTTTTTGCAAAAAGTTAGATTGAGGAGTTCCCCCCATTTTGTGATGCCTGCAAATCTTTGGGCCATTCTAATAATAATAATCACCCTACTCATATGGAACCTCAGATTCTTGCAAAACCTACTGTTCATTTTAGGGGGAATGTGTATGATAAAATTATCATTCAGGATGCTATTGACCCTTTGGATACTGGTCATGTCATAACCCCTGCTTTTGTGGCCCAGCCGACTATTCTTATTGAGAAAAATGTTAATGGTGAGGGGGTAATTCATGGTGCTCCTTTACCTAGTTTTCCTCATATGGATTTATCTTGTGACAATAATGTGAGGATTATTGATGATGTGAGTATTGTGAACCAGCTTACTAGCCCCATCTTAACTCATGTTTTAAATACTGTTGATGTTTCGGCTTTTACTATGGATCCTTAATATGTTGGTTTAGATCATCTACTTAAGAATGTTGGCTCTGCTGCAAATCGTATTGTGCATGGTGGGCATTGTCTTAGTATTGATCTGGATAGTCCTAACATGTGTGATGTTAACATGGTTGTTTTGGATGAGTCTTCAAGCGATTTGAATGATATTACTCTTGTCTCACCTGTGGTTTCTTTTGGAGTGTCGTTGATGCCTAATGTGGAGGTTATTAAGGGCAATGAGACTGTTTTTGATGTCCCAATTCCAGTTGTTTCTAATGACGAATTGAAAGCTCAATTGGCTTTAACTTTGAATAATGATGAGCCATCAGATTGGTTGGAGGAATCCTTCTCCTCTGTGTGGGGGGATGTTGGGGGTGATTTAGGTGATGATGTGGATGATTTGCAAGAGATGTATGGTCTAAACGTGGGGCATATTGTGCTTCAGGATTTCTCCAATAGATGTGGGAAGCATCATAAGAGAAAATCTAAGAAAAAGTAATGGTTTTTCGGTTATTGTATTTCTTCCTCCAGGTTGTGTGATTTCAGTTAAATTTCTATTTTTGGTGTTTCTACTAGCTGCGATAGATCCTGGACTATGATGAGGCAATGCATCCACCTCGTTGTCCTTGCTTGCTGGAAACCTTGATGGCCTTTCCTCTTTATGTACAAATCTTTTTGTTTGGCGAGGAGTTGTTGTTTGTTGGTTTTCTTCTATTTGATTTTTAACTTATTGCTTTCAATGGATGGCCCTTTCTTTGCTTGCGGGTGGTTGTAGGGAACCTTTTGGCACTTCCTGAGTCCGGCTGGCATCTTCGCCCCTTTTTTTCATGTGATTATTGCTCCATGACAGCCATTGTTGCACCTATTCTTTTGAGGAATGTTTTCCTTTGCTATAATTTTCTTGCAATTTTATTTTGTTCTAATGGATCTTGGTGTAATATCTCGTTAAAAGACTGAAATTTATTTTGTTAAAAAATAAATAAAAATGAAAAGAAAGCATAACATTGTTTTGTTAAATATTTGTTTAAATTAGTTTTAGAATTGTTCTTGCTACGTCCAGATGCCAATCAAACGTGCCACGTCACCCGATGTACAAATCTATTGGTGATGTGGCGCATCCTTATTAGCCTCCGGATGACGTCCGATGACTACACGTAACAATTTCTCTAGTTACAGTTGCCCTAATTATAAATTTTTTTAGGTTTAATAGCTAATTAAAATTTTAACAGTAATCACTTAAAAATTTTATCCTATAAAACAACTACTTGGGTTCTTAAAAAGTAGGGGTGTAAATTCGGGTCAGCGAGTCGGATTCGGGTCGAACCCGGAATTGACCCGGCACTGTTCGGGTCAACCCAAACCAGACCCGTTTTTAAAAACGGGTCAGGTTTCCAGACCCGAACACGACCCTATTCGAGTCCGGGTCAACCCGACCCGACACGAATGACCCGAAGTTGACATAAAATTGCTATTTTTCGGGTAAAAAAATTGGGTCAATATTCGATTTTCGGGTCAAAATCGGGTCAAAAACGGGTCAATCTCGGGTGTTGGGGTCAAATATGAGTTTTTGTGTCACTTTCGAGTTGCTGAGTCAACCCGAACCCGACCCGATTTTTAAAACAGGTTGATTTGTTGAAACCGAACCTGGATTTTTTTGGATAAAGATAGCATGAAAGTTGGCATCAAAGTTGCAGGTGGCTGATAAAAGATTGATTTGAGATAGTTTTTTATTATTTTCTATAACATTAGCAAAAAAAAATTTTAACATTTTTTTTTTTGCGGTTAAAACAGCTGTGAAATTTCCTAAAAAGTGTTGAGAAAGCCTTTTTTTGGGTAATGAATTTAATGCAAAATTTATGAATTAAATTCATTAATATAAATAAATTAAAAGTATTGGAATTAATAAATACATCAATTTAGGATATTTGAATATAAATTTAATGCAAATTTTATGTATTAAATGTCATTAACATAAATGAACTTAAAAATATAAATTAAAATAAACGGAAAAAAGAAATTTCTCCATTTATTTGAAATATCATATGTTTTTTAGTTTAATTTAACCGATTCCAAAGAAACTGAAATTCGAAATTCCGTTTTAAACCGGAATTTTGATTTCCGGTTTCTACTTGACCGTTTTTAATTGTTTAAATTATTAATTACTAATATATGCATCCTTAATATAATTGATTAAATTAAGCAGATCACACCCTTCTCTAACCCCCGAGCGAGAGAGTGATAGAGAGAGAGAGACATCTTCCAGATCCCTACTCTTCTATATCTTGATTTCGGGCTAAGCTTTCAGAAACTCAGCGCAGTTCGCAGCCATGAAAAAGCTCCTGACAAAATCTTTCCTTAGTTATTCGTTGGAACTGATAGAGAAGGAAATGGCGTCCATAAGCAAGCTTGTTGCTCTTCTCAAGGCCGCCAACGAGGAGACTATATCAACCCGGCAAGATGTGGTGCCTGCCGCGCGCGACCGCATCGACAGAAAGATCTTGGAGGTTGTCAAGACCTCCCTACGCTTCAGAGGGCGCCTCGAAGACATGGACCGCCCTAGCGAGGCCAATCGCCGTCTCCCTGGCTGCAACGAGGGAACAGCCGCTGATCGGATCAGAACTGTGCTGAGAAATATGCTCCGCAGGAAGCTCAAGGAGCTAATGATGGATTTTAAGAGAGCAAGGCAGAGCATAATGGTGGATTTCATGATTAGGCGCCGTTGCTTTACTGTACCAGGGGAAATACCTTCCGAAGAGGTGTTGGAGATGATGTTTTCCGAAGAGATGAGCGAGGAGATACTAAGGGCAGCCATCTATTCAAGTGGACAGTATATGCACGATGCGGTAAAGTATGCGAAAAACAGTCTGCTTGAATTCTACCAATTATTCTTGAACGCGGTGGTGCTAGTTGATTCACTAGGTGAGAAGATGAATGATATAGAATACCATGTCTCGAACACTGCTAACTACAACATCAAGGGCGGGACTAAGGTGCTCAAATCTGCTTAGATATACCAAAGGAGCAGCCTCAAATGGTTCTGCAACGCCATTATGCTTCTACTTGTCCTAGTGCAGGTCGTTGTTATTCCAATTAATACCAGCCTGAGCAAGTCATGAGTACCTTGCTTTTTTAATTTTCATCCTTTTGCTAATGCCTATTCTACTTCTCCCTTGTTCTGTTTTGCTGTTGTTGAGTCCTTCTAGTTCTTTTTGGCTGTCCTGTTTGGATGTACCCTTTTTTCATTGTTCTCTTTTATTTTCTGGTTTTTGGTGTTCTGTAGACCAACGCTATGTTTAGCTTTTTTCGGGGTACTGTTTCCTTTTTCTCATCTTAAATTGTGTTTTTCATATATGATAACGGGCTAAGCCCCCAATTTTCACAAAAAAAAAGAAATTATTCTGTGGAGAACCGACGCAAAATATTGTGCGGAGATAAACCAAAATGCGTCACTACAGCAGTACCGAGCCATGGTACCGAGCACATGAATGACGTGGTGCATTCTAGTTGGTCTATAAAGACGTTTGGAATATCCACAAAATAATTTTTCCCGAAAAGATGTATATGTCGTTGTTCTTCCTCTGTGGATTGTCTTAGCTGTTTTTTTGTTCTTTATATCATTTCTGTTAAATTGTAGCTTGTATGTTTTTTGTTCTTATTTTTCTAGAATTACTTACAATGGTATTTATCGCACTGTGAGTTCATGACTTAAGCTTCGTTTGGGACAGCTTTTTTATTGCTTTCTAAAACGGAATTTTAGTACAATTTTTTTTATTTTTGTATTAAAACTCTGTTTTAGAAAGCGGTAAAAAAGCCGTCCCAAACAAAGCCTTAATTGGCCTAAATGTTAAAAAAAAAAACTGTTTTAAAAATAATAAAAAAATCATCTCAAGAAAAATCTTTAGCTTCAATTTGACCAGTTTTTAATTATTATTTTTTCACTGATTTTAAAAAAACTACAAGAAATATTTATTTTAAAAAATAATAATAAAAATATTGTAAATAAAGTCTTAATAATTATGTAATTGTATCTTTTTATAGGTCTGGATTTGCTGGCATATTTTCTTATTTTGGTAAATGTTTTAATTTCATTCATATTAGTTATGTATTTAAAAATAGGGGGAATAATTAATATAATTCATCAGGTAGCAGCAGCGATTATAAGTTTTGTACAGAAATTTTGATCCAAACTTTGGCATCTATCCAATCATGACCTATGATGGAGGTAATTAATCAGCCTGACTAAAATATTCTTTCCACTTTTAAGCTGCTGCTACTTATGATCATCATTTAGTTCAAGGAAATTAATATTTGACCAAATTAAGTAATTAATTTATGACTAGAATTTCATAAAATTAATATAACCGGCCTCCTATTCTCTGTTATTATAGAAAGTGATTAAAAGGCTTAAATTATGAGTGCTCTCATTAAGGCAATAGAGAAAGTTTTAAAATATTGAAAAATGATAGGTGTCCAATAAAGATAGCATTAAAGTTGGCATCAAAGTTGCTAGTGGTTAATCAAAGATTTATTTGGGACAATTTTTTTTTTTTTTTTTTAGCACAAAAATTTTTTAGAAGAAACAAAAATACAGTTGCCAAAAATTATTTCGAATGAAGCCAAAAATATCGATGATGATCAATGATCATGATAATCATTTGGTGATAATAAGAATATTTTTACTTTTCTAGCACCATACACCTCTTATCTAGCATATGTTGGATCTTGGAGGAGATCTTGAAAAATGTTCTTGCAAGAGATAGAGAGGGAGAGGGAGGGAGAGAGAGAGAGACAACAATTGAGGAGGAAAATACCTCTAGCTTCATTAGTTTTCCCCAACCAATACATCATACAAGGCTTCTATTTATAGAGATGTACAAGGATGTGGTAGCATGCATGAACAAAATAATCCTAAAACTAAATCGATACTTAACAGCATATTTCTCAAATGTGTAGGAATATGGCCCATATATCACTAGAAAAATAAGAACTTTGTGGCCTTGAACAAATCCCTCTATTTATTTATAGTCCTTGTTGGAACCTACGAGGAAAATAAATGATAAAACTTTTTTAATTCTATTTTTATCTCATCTGCCAACTAAATGAACACTCATGTGAGGGGAAGGAGAGATGGAGAGAGTTATATAACGCGAGGCATTATCGATGATAGAGGAAGAGAGAGAGGAGGTGCAGCCGAACAAGTATGATAAATCGTGTGATAAGAGTTTGGATTCAATCTGAGCATTTAGAGCTACTCAAACTCTAAAATTTTAGGAAGGAAGAGATACATTTACCAAGGAAATAATTTGTGCTGCCATGTCCATCCAAGATTTTGTTCTATTTATAATTTTTAAAATGTCCCATAATTACAATTATATCAATCAATTTTATTAAACTATTTATGAGAATTGGTTACAATATCCATAACAAAAAGCACATCCTCTTGTATGAGCCATTTGTCCATACACTTTGCTAGCTTGCAATCCTTGCTCATGTTATCGATTTATTACTATTGCGTCCTGAAAAATTCGCGGCGGTAGAGAGTTATTGGCACTGATAAAATGTGTGAGAAACCCTAGTTATGTAATATGAAAATAGTCTTGTAACGTGTTAGACTTTATGCTCTAAAAAAAGCTCTTACAGCAACTCATTTGATGCTTAAACCATTTGAGAAAGTGTATAAAAGGCTACGTGCAATATAGGATTACAGGCATGTACCATTATCAATCTTATTTGCTTAAAGTTAAAAATGTTGTTAAATATAAAAATATTACCACCAGGATCATTGTACTCCTCATTTATCAGTCTTTTAAATTTGCTTAACGTCATTCAGAAAATAGATAAAAAGAAAAATAAAATAAAAAATACTAATGAATTGTGGTTTCAGGAATTCTTAATGCTTTCTTCATTAATAAGCATGCTTTCTTCATTAATTGATGAGCTAAATAAAGCACTCGCCCTCCCTAAATGTCAAAAAAAAAAAAAAAAAAAGCATTCTGAGAACTTTTGAAGTTTCAATTCATGCAACACTTAAGAGAGTTTAAAGAATACCTTTGTAAATGAGGTTCTTCTCTCAACATATAAGCCTCCTTCATATCCACCCGATGCTGCAAGATGATACTTATTAGATACAGGCTTATGATTACTTGTGATGAAAATAAAATAAAATAAAAAGCAAAAATTAAGGACCGTAAAGTTGGATTAATTATTCTGTGTGGACATTGAATTAATGTTCTCCGGAGACCAACTAGAATGCACCTTGTCACCCCTACGTTCAATGCCGTGGCTCGGTACTGCACAATACCATGGCTCGGTACCACTGACGCAACGCATAGTGATTGGTCTCCAGACAACGTTCTGCATCCGATCTCTGCACAGAATAATTTCTCATAAAGTTGATGGGAAAAAATGTAGAAACAGAGAAGCAGCGGAGATAAAAGAAGAGATAAGAATTTGTTATTCTTTCTTGCATACCGTCTCACTGTACAGAGTTTACAATATATAGAAGCATATACATATACCGATGGCTTATTTACAAAGCTTGTCATCAAGTATTTATATTGAAATATGAATAACAGAGAGTCTATTCTAACACCCCCCTTCAAATTGATGGGTCCTGACAAACAGTCAATTTGTCTCTAAGAAATACGAATCTAGGGGTAGAAAGAGACTTGGTAAAAATATCGGTGACTTGATCCGTGGTGCTAATTGGTGGTAGCCGAATATTCATTTGGAGTATGTGATCTCGTAAGAATTTTTGGTCAATCTCTACGTGTTTCGTACGAGAGTGAAACATGGGATTGTTAGCCAAGGCAATAGCAGACATATTGTCGCAATGTAGATCGGTTGGGTAATCTTGAGATAGATCAAAATCCGAGAGTAGGCGTCTTAACCACACTATGTCCGATGTCAGGGCTAGCTGCAAGGGCTCGGTATTCCGACTCCGCAGATGATCTGGAAACGACACGCTGCTTTTTAACTGTCCATGATACAAGAGTGTCGCCTAAGAACGAACAGTAGCCTGAGGTGGATTTCCGTGTGATTGGGTCACCTGCCCAGTCGGCATCTGAAAAGGATTTTAGAATTATGTTAGTTTTTGTTATTGGTAATCCATGATGTAGCGTACCTCTAATGTATCAGAGCAATCTTTTGAGTAGATAGAAATGAGGAGGTAGAGGATTGTGCATGTGTTGAGAGAGAAGGTTGACACTGAAGGATATATCCGGGCGAGTCAACGTGATATATTGTAGAGAGCCAATGATGCTGCGATAAAGAGCAGGTTCTTGGAGTTTTTCTGTATTGAAGTCAGCGGGCATCTTTTTACAGGTTGGATTCGCCAGTGGATTCCAATTGGTCATGTCCGCTTGGGAGAGAATGGAGTAAGCATATTTCGCCTGTGAGAGAAAATAGGAATTGTTAGTTTTATGAATTTTGATGCCGAGAAATTCATTTACCGTGCCCAGGTGCTTCATCGTGAACTCCTTATTCAATTTAGATATGATTTTCTGGACGTGAATAGGATCGGAACCAGTGATGAGTATGTCGTCTACGTAAATGAGAAGATAGATTTGAATTGTCTTTTGGCGGTAGATTAATAGCCATGGATCCGCCTGACTGTGAGAAAACCAAGAGTTATAAGGAATGAGGTGAACGTATTATACCACTGTCTTGGCGCCTGTTTTAGGCCATAAATCGCTTTGTCCAGTTTGCATACATGACCTGGGCGCGAGCGATCTTCAAAACCTCGCGGCTGTGTCATGTAGACAGTCTCCGATAGAGAACCATGGAGAAACGCATTAGCCACATCCAGCTGTTGAACTGGCCAGTCCTTATGCAATACTATGGTGAGCAAGATACGGATCGTAGGAAGTTTAACAACAGGACTGAACGTTTCAGTATAATCGATACCAAATTCTTGATTATTTCCTTGAGTCACAAGTCTTGCCTAGTACTTGGCGATGGAACCGTCGGTGTGATATTTGGTCCTGTACGTCCATTTTGAGCCAAGGAT